CTCAAAGAGATGCCTGCTTATCATCTCATTGCTTCTCAGGTGGCTAGTACCTTTTCTACATAGTTCTTTGCTACGCTTTGAATCATATAAATTAAAACTCGAGCACGAGCTAACTTATACCTAACATTTTAATTCATCAGATTTTCGCATTCTATTGCAGTAAATTTATTAAGATATAAGCATTTATTGTTTCTTGTTTTTATATCTGATATAACGTCGCCTTGGGTATTCTCAGATAACGATCTGAATTATCTTTGAATACTATTTTACTATAGGGTTATTATATTGCAATTGGGCTAATCAATCATTCTTACCTTCTAAATATATATTCTCTTTTTCATTAATGAAGGCTCGGCGGTACTGTTTATCCATTACTTTAATTCGCAAATTTCTTTATAGGACAGTAATTCTGCTTGTTGCTATCATTTATAATTATATTGAAAATAAGTTACATTTTTATTTATTCTAGTCACACTTGCAATATTTCGAGCAAATTATCTAAATTAAAATTTATGGTGAAAATCTCGTAATACTGTCAGCTCGATTAGTTCTTGCACACGCTAATTTCATGTCGCTAAGAGTGACGTACATATTTACAAATAGAATTTATTTTTAAGATGCGAATCACCTTCTTCTTGATTTAACCTAAAATTTCTGCGACAAATGCGCATCATATTCTCACAATAGAGCTTTAATAATTCAATTCTACACAATTATTAATATATAATTAAAATAATACCTTTATATTATTACAAAGGGGCTATTTTATTTATTATACAGTCTAAGTAGTTTAGATGGTAATCGCATTTGTTTCCTGCATCACTAAAGCGCCCGGTTTGCTGGAGATGATCCTGCGACGATGACCGAAAGCAGTAATGACGGTCATATTAGTATTGCTGAGAAATCTGAAAGTCCACAGCGCCGTACAAGCGAACCATCCGTAAGTCATGGAAGCAAATCTTCTGATAGTGTGTCTCAAAAATCAGCAAAAGGTAAATTTATTGAAGCGTTAACTTCTTATTCTCGCTTCGGTTTTGCCAAGCCTCATGGTTTTTATGTTCTACACAATTAATAGGCAATGTGCATTTCAAGATCCTTGTGCCTTCTATTGCCGCAGGTGCCATCATTGGCAAGGGCGGCGAGGCTATAACACATATACAAAATAAGACGGGGGCTAAGGTTAAGATGTCGAAAGCAAATGACTTTTATCCAGGTAATGTATTTCTTTACTAAAGTAAGTCTAGGCACCTCTGAACGAGTTTGTTTGATCCTTGGCACCATTGAAGCGATTATGGAAGTCTACAAATATATTTCCGAAAAAATTTACGAGAAACCAGATACATTGCCTCGAATAACTTCGGAAGGTCGAATGCCTATGGAAAGGCATAAGCAGGTTTGTATTTATTACGGTCTTTTTAAGTATCTTCTATAAATAATTAAAATCTTCATCGGCCATATTTTGTTTCTTTGCCAGGTCAAAATACTTGTCCCAAATAGCACGGCGGGCATGATCATCGGAAAAGGAGGAAATTTTGTCAAAGAAATTAAGGAAAAAACTGGAGTGTTTATACAAATTTCTCAAAAGTCTCAAGGAATAGCATTAAATGAACGATGTGTTACCGTTGCTGGTAAGGCCATATAATTATTCTTTCACAGCTTATTGCTATTGTAATTGGAACCGAGCGTTGCGGTTATTTTCCCTTTGCTTGTTTTATTATTGTCATTTATATCGCTTAGGTAAACTTTTAACAGGTCAATATTTATTCTAGTGGATTAGCA